ATTTCACCTTACACAGCATTTCACCTTACACAGCATTTCACCTTACACAGCATTTCACCTTACACAGCATTTCACCTTACACAGCATCTCACCTTACACAGCATCTCACCTTACACAGCATCTCACCTTACACAGCATCTCACCTTACACAGCATCTCACCTTACACAGCATCTCACCTTACACAGCATTTCACCTTACACAGCATTTCACCTTACACAGCATTTCACCTTACACAGCATGTCACCTTACACAGCATCTCACCTTACACAGCATCTCACCTTACACAGCATCTCACCTTACACAGCATTTCACCTTACACAGCATTTCACCTTACACAGCATTTCACCTTACACAGCATTTCACCTTACACAGCATTTCACCTTACACAGCATTTCACCTTACACAGCATTTCACCTTACACAGCATTTCACCTTACACAGCATTTCACCTTACACAGCATCTCACCTTACACAGCATCTCACCTTACACAGCATCTCACCTTACACAGCATCTCACCTTACACAGCATGTCACCTTACACAGCATTTCACCTTACACAGCATGTCACCTTACACAGCATTTCACCTTACACAGCATTTCACCTTACACAGCATGTCACCTTACACAGCATGTCACCTTACACAGCATTTCACCTTACACAGCATGTCACCTTACACAGCATGTCACCTTACACAGCATGTCACCTTACACAGCATGTCACCTTACACAGCATTTCACCTTACACAGCATTTCACCTTACACAGCATTTCACCTTACACAGCATTTCACCTTACACAGCATGTCACCTTACACAGCATGTCACCTTACACAGCATGTCACCTTACACAGCATGGCACCTTACACAGCATTTCACCTTACACAGCATCTCACCTTACACAGCATTTCACCTTACACAGCATTTCACCTTACACAGCATGTCACCTTACACACCATACCACACCCCATGCCCACACCGTGCGCAGCATTGTACCCTACACACCATACCTCACCTCACGTCCATACCGTGTGCAGCAGCAGCGCAGCGGGCGAGTGGAGGGGAAGGCCCCTCCAGAGGTAGTAGTGGCGCCAGGAGAGGGGGGAGAAGGGGAGAGGGGGAATTGAGGTGGGCAGTGTGGGGTGAACGTGCGGGGGACTAGAGGGCGAGGGTGGGGGCGCAGCACAAGTGGTGGGGCGGGCTGATGGGCTACTGGGCTAGAGTGGAGCGGCCTGGCCCTTGCCTAGCTGGCCCTTGTCTAGCTGGCCCTTGTCTAGCTGGCCCTTGCCTACTGGCCCTTGCCTAGCTGGCCCTTTCCTAGCTGGCCCTTGCCTAGCTGGCCCTTGCCTAGCTGGCCCTTGCCTAGCTGGCCCTTGCCTAGCTGGCCCTTGCATATCTGGCCCTTGCCTAGGCTGCACGGCAGGCCAGGAAGGGGAGAGCAGCTAACCAGGGCAATGACGGAGACTAGAAGAATGGAGATAGATATTTTTCAGGAAAACGAGTGTGAGAACGCGATGGGAGATAAACGAACGACTCAGGTGTGAATCGAACAGTCAATTTCACGCACCCACCAAGATATAAGGAAGAGGAAGAAAGGAACAAATTGGGACGCAACGAGAACAGTGGGTGGAGAAGGAGAGAGTGGGAGAGTGGGAGAACGGGAGAGGGTGGAGAGAGAGGAGAGAGTGAGAGAGAGGGAAGGAGTGGGTGCCTTTTAGACCGCAGAGGGCAGCGTAGGGACCGTGGGCATGGAGGTGGCGGGATGAGAGGAGGGAGGTGTGTCACCCCTGCTCCGCCTGCAGGTTGCACTGCAGAACACAGGCGGAGGGTTGAGGGTAGGTGGAGAGACTGGGAGTGTGGGAGAGTGTGAGGGTGGGGAAGGGAGGGAACGGGCGCATTATAGACCATCTGCATCCCACATGCGGGTGGAGGGCAGTGAGGAAGGGGCGCATGGTGTGCCGCCCGCCCGTGCTCCATATGCAACCCACATGCAGTAGACAGGCACGGCCCATGCTATGGGACACGAGACGAGGCGGGGGCGAGTTTTGAGTCGACTCAAAACTCGACTCATTACACACGGCCCATGCTATGGGACACGAGGCGAGGCGGGGGCGAGTTTTGAGTCGACTCAAAACCCGACTCATTACACACGGCCCATGCTATGGGACACGAGGCGAGGCGGGGTCGAGTTTTGAGTCGACTCAAAACTCGACTCATTACACACGGCCCATGCTATGGGACACGAGGCGAGGTGGGGTCGAGTTTTGAGTCGACTCAAAACTCGACTCATTACACACGGCCCATGCTATGGGACACGAGGCGAGGTGGGGGCGGCAATGCGTTTAAGCACGGAGGGGCAGGGCGCTGTGCCCATCGCAAAATACAAGTAGTGGCACATGGAGATGATGGATGGCACGACACAGCACCATACAAACACAACACAGCACCGCACAGCACAGCACCGCACCTGGGTGACGGAGAGGTGCGGGAGAAGGGCAGGTCCAGCACAGCAGCACCGCACGACACAGCACCGCACTGCACTGCACCGCACACCATTGCACAGATACCGCACTGCACCGCACTACACAGCACCGCGCTGCACTGCACCGCACACCATTGCACAGATACTGCACTGCACCGCACTACAACAGCACCGCACTGCACCTCACCATACCACACCACACCTGGATGATGGAGTGGTGCAGGAAGGAGAAGGGCAGATCCAGCACATCCGGTGCTCCCTGCAGCTGCAGTGAAAAGCGAGCGCACTCCCCCCCTTGCTGGTGCTTCCGCCAGTGGGCCTCCTGAGGGGAAGCATGGGGGGTTGGCGTGGGGCATGGAGGAAAAAGGATGGGCCAGGCGAGCACACTCCCCCCTCTGCTCATGCTGCCGCCAGTGGGCCGCCTGAGGAATGTGGCATGGGGGGAATGGGGTTGGAGGATGCGCCATGTGCTATGGGGCATGGAGGAAACAGGATGGGCCAAGCGAGCGCACTACCTCCCCTGCTTGTGCTGCCGCCAGTGGGCCGCCTGATGAGATGCATGGGGAGTGGGGCATGGGTAGTGGGGCGTGGGTAGTGGGGCATGGGTAGTGGGGCGTGGGTAGTGGGGCATGGGTAGTGGGGCATGGGAGATGGGGCATGGGTAGTGGGGCATGCGAGATGGGGCATGGGGAGTGGGGCATGGGTAGTGGGGCATGGGAGATGGGGCATGGGTAGTGGGGCATGGGAGATGGGGCATGGGGGGGAAGGGGACAGGCCAGGCGAGGGCAATCCCCTCCCTGCTCGTGCTGCCGCCAGTGAGCCGCCTGAGGGGATGCATGGGGCATGGGGGAAGCGGGAAGGGAAGGGGCATCGGGGGTGGAGTATGGCAAAAAGGGACGGGCCAGGTGAGCGCACTCCCCCACCGCTCGTGCTGCCGCCAGTGGAATGCCTGAAGAGAATGGTTCGCGCGGCATGCAGCATGCAGCATAAGGCATGGGGTATGGGGTATGGGGCATGGGGTATGGGGCATGGGGTATCGGGCATGGGGCATGGGGCATGGGGCATGGGGCATGGGGCATGGGGCATGGGGCATGGGGCGTGGGGCGTGGGGCGTGGGGCATGAGGCATGGGGCGTGGGGCATGAGGCATGGGGCATGGGGCATGAGGCATGGGGCGTGGGGCATGAGGCATGGGGCGTGGGGCATGAGGCATGGGGCGTGGGGCATACGACAGAAGAAGACTCTTTGGGAGACGAGAGGTGAAGACGAGAGAGGGAGAGGACAGGGGGAGAGAAGACGAGGAGGGGTGAGGAGGGGTGAGGAAGAGAGAGGATGGAGAGAGGAGAGGGGGCAAGGAGAGGGAGAGAGGTGGAAGGAGAGGACCAGAGGAGGAGGGAAAAGGAGAGGGGGAGCAGAGAGGGAGAAGAGGGGAGAGGAGAAAGGGAGAGGAGATGGGGAGGTGAGATGGGGAGAGGGGATGGGGAGAGGAGACAGGGTGAGAGGAGAAGGGGAGAGGAGAGGGGGAGCGGGGGAGAGCAAGGAGAGGTAGGGGAAGAGGAGAGGGGGAGAGGAGATGGGGAACTTTGAACATTTGTGAAACCAGAAGAGGGGTTTGCCCTTCCAGCCAGCTGAGCAACAGCACATTGTGTCAAAAAAAGTAAATCTCTGAGACGTCTCCTCACTCGACAGCACATGGAGTTGGAAAATGACCGGCTCACGAAGTGATGCTGGATTTGGCACGTATTCACAGGAAAGAGGCTCATTTTACACTGGACGTGTATCTCTGTACATATACCACCAACACACACCAACCATCAACTATTTTATTCACTCAAGTCACACAACAGTGTTCCCTTCACACCCTTCCACCTTGTAGTTGGCTCGAGCTAAAACAGGTTCTAGACTTGCTGGGATCTGAATCTTACCCTTACAGCCCCTAATGGTCAGCTCTGTGAGGCGGTTAAAGCCCGCCAGGTACACTGGCAGCGACTTCATCTGCTCACAGTGAATCAGCCGCAGCTTCCTGATGCGATTGAAGCACGCAAAGCTCTTGGGCAGGCATAAAAAACTCGAATCATGAATCTCCAAGATCCTCAGCCTGGGCGGGCAGGTGATATTTCCAGTCCATCCCCTCTTGACTCCCACGTTGGACAGCCATAGAAAGAGCAGTGAAGTGAAGGAAGAGAGACAGCCTAAGCTCCTGCAGGATGCAAGAAGCGGGCCAAGAATGAGAATCTCAAGCCTTGGCATCGGTGGGATCGAGTATTTGCTGCTAGGCCGATCCACCTGCAGGAAAGTCAGGTTCGGGTGCGCAGTCAACCGAGGCTCGGAAAAAGTCTCAGCTCTCTGTAGCATGTGCCTAAGGTTCGGCAGAGCCCCAACCTGAGCAGTAGAGTGTATGGCTTGGAAGACCCTGAGGTTTGGGAAGAGGCAATCTGAGTCCGGGACGGGTGGGCAGCGGACGTTCACCAGCTTAAGCTGTGTGATTGTAGAGGAGGCCCAAAGGGACAGGCTCTGCTCGTTATTAGAACGTCCATGCAGAGTCAAGGACTCGAGAGCAGGAGGGAGAAACGGGTGATGGGCATGTGCTTGTCCCTGCTCCTGCTGCTGCTGCTCCTGCTGCTGCTGCTCCTGCTGCTGCTGCTCCTGCTGCTGCTGCTCCTGCTGCTGCTGCTCCTGCTGCTGCTCCTGCTGCTGCTGCTCCTGCTGCTGCTCCTGCTGCTGCTGCTGCTCCTGCTGCTGCTCCTGCTCCTGCTGCTGCTGCTCCTGCTGATGACCCTGCTCCTGCTGCTGACCCCGGTGCTGCTGTTGCTGCTGCTGCTGCTCCTGCTGCTCCTGCTGCTGCTGCTGCTGTTGCAGCCCCAAGCCCTCCCATTTCTACGTCAGAAATGCACAGGTCTTTCAGGGATGTCAGATGCCACAGTCCCATCCCGGGCCTGGAGCTCAGGCTCGGAGCAGCTAGGGGCATGTGGAGCCGCGTCAGGCTCGGCAGGTGCCTGAGGGATGGCGGAGGGGTCAACCATTGGTCCGAAGTGAGGGTCAACGAAGTCAACTGCTTCAAGCCCGCGAATCGCGGCTCGTCCATAATCCTACCCCCCTCATTGTCCACGTTCGCCACGTCAGCAGCAGCGGTTGTAACAGCCCCAGCAGCAGCAGCAGCAGCAGCCTCGTTAAAGCCCATCACTCTCAACGCGGTTCGCCTCTCCAGCTGCACGCCTCTAGCTCGCCTCTCCTGCTGTCTCGCTGCTGCTCTGCTGCTCCACAGATCTGTCTCCAGTTCCTCCAGCCGTTCTAACCTCCATATTGAGTCCGGGAGCAACCTTATAACGTTACTGGGCTGTCTGATAACGGGTATAAATGACAAGCTGCCATCGAGATTGCGTGAGACAACTTGAAGGTTGAGTGTCAGCTTCCGAAGCAATTGTTCCAAGCCAAGAAACAGGTCCGGAGAGAGGCTTGGCGCCTGCACCTCGGTGCTCGGCCTGAGCTCGTCGTGGTAACACGATATGCGAAGCTCTTGTAACGCTCGCAGTCGCGAAAACGGCGCGGCGGTGGCGAAAAACCAGTCGTTCGCACATGTTAAGTGAAGATGAAGCGAACGGAGGTAAGGGAAGGTAGAAGCGAACGATGTGGGTGAGAATGAGGCGGAGAGGGGACGATGCAGAGGAAGAGAGAGATGAGATAGCGGCTGCTGTAACTCATGCTTCAAGGCTGGTAACTCCGCCGAGCCTCCCGAGCCTGCTTCTTCTGCCGAGCCCGCGGAGGAAGAAATTGCGGTTACCAAATCAGGCAAATCGTCAGGCAAGGCGTATTGAGTCCGTTTGCATGTGAAACGACTCGAGGCGCGGGCAGGAAACAAGAATATTGGTGAGGCCTTCGGTCAGGATGGCGTTAAACGCGCTGAGGTTCGTCTGAGATTGGAACGCGAAGTTTCGGGGAAATCGGATCTGGATGCGGCAAGAGAGGAGGGAACGACACGTGGCGACCGCGGCTAAGGCTTCACGCAGACCCTCGGTTTGGATCGAATCCTGCCGGCCAGAAATCTTGTCTATGAAGATCGGGATATTGACGGACGTCAGGTTCGAAAACCGTCTAATCAAGGCGCCAATCCGCTTTCCGTCGGGAGAAACAATCCCGGAGTCGAGCTGTCGAAAGCTCTGCGACAAGATAAGATCCGATACTAGCGCCGGGGTGAACCAGGGGTTCTTGCTGGCGAAGCGTACGTGCTGGGGCATGCACAGTGGCGGGTCGTCGAGAATCCATAGCTTCTCTATTCCCGGATGCCACCGTGAAACGAAACTGCAGTTGCTGACGCCACGGAAACAAGACTCCCAACGCGCGGTGCGCAAGTCGTAAACAACTGAGAAGTCGCGGGTTCGACTCTCAAAGACGTCGCGCCACTCCTTGCAGACCGTGCTAGCTGCGTGCGCGTCTACAGGTCGTTGCAGCAGTCGAAAAACTACTTCGATAATGTCAGGAGAAAGGGATAGTGATTGGGTATGACCGTAGCTGTTCCCACGGAATGAGGGCGGAGAGGCTGGATAAAGGGCCCGCACCAATTCTGTTCTCAGTGAATCGGGAGAATCTTCTGGTTTGTCTTCCTGCTCCTGCTGCTCCTGCGGATGCTGCTGCTGCTGATAATGAAGGTCTACATTCTCGGTGGAAGCAGACGGCCATTCTCGGTTGAAGCGGAAAGTTCGAATGCTTGGAAACGAGTCTGATCGAATCACTCGAGAAACTCCTGCCGTATCTGTTTCTACATTCGTTTCTGATTCAAAAGCGGTTGCTGCATCGATAATGGTTTCCGCTGTTGAAGAATCGCCTTCCTGCTGAGGTACTTCTACTGCTGCTGCTGCTGTGGCTGCTGGGAAAGCACTTGGTTCGTCCGTGCCGTCAAGCAGAACAACAGTCATCGCCATTGCCAATTTTGCAGGTTCCGCGCTCGCAAGCCACCAAGCATCGCAGTTCTGTTCGGGAACTCGCCTCTAATGGGTGAAATTGGAGGGAATTCTTCAAGATTGGTTGTGAATTGACGAGATTTGTAGCCATGCGGCTCGGCGAAATCGGGTTGCGTGTGCCGCACTCCTCGTTACAAATACTTTGTCGCAGTCTGTAGGTTGCGTAGCGAAGGCTAGCGAGGATTTGACACTCAACCACCAAGGTTGTGGGTTTTTGCGGATATACATGCACGTACTCTTTACTGTACAGCTGGCTGGCAGTACAGCTGAACACACACAAAGTTGTTAGGCCCGACGGCCTAAGTCCGCTAAAGAATTAGCGGGGTCGACTAAGTCGAGGATAAAGCGCGGCGGAAGGCTTTGGCGAAAAGACTATTGGCGAAATAGGCGAAGAAGTTACTAAGTAATTGCAGAAGAGTTGAATGAGAATTTGTTGATATGAGGGAATACAAGCAAGGTTTATATAGCATGCAAGAAACAAGGTTGGAAAGTAGATTGTGGGACTAGGAATTGTGAAGCTAGAAAAGTAGAGTGCCACGTGGCACTAGGAAATCCAAGAAGATAAGGATAGGGATGACTTGGATGGGTTGGGAAAGTACTGTTCAAAGGGAACAGTAAATCCCCCTTTAACACTACCGCCCTCCCAAGGAGGCGACGTCCGCGGCGCCTGCAGACTGAAGGTACGCTTGGAGGCAAGCGTTGTCAGGAGACAGCGAGGACGAAGGAACCCAGCTGTCGTCGGCTGCATCGTAACCACGCCAACGAACCAAGAAGTCGATGAAAGAGACACCTCCCTGCAGACGGCGACGGTGCCTGAGGATGCGCTGGATCTGGTAGTCGGGCTCGTCGGTGTCAACAGCTACCGGCAGTGGAGTGCGATCACGGCCCGAGAAGGTGGCGTTGGGATCGGTGTAAGGCCGAAGGAGAGACACGTTAAATGACGGGTGCATGCGGAAATGAGCGGGAAGGCGGAGGCGGTATGCGACTGGACCAAGTGCACGCTCAATGACGAATGGACCGATGAACCGTGGGCGAAGCTTGCCATCCTGTGGCAGTCGGAGGTTGCGGCTATCGAGAAGGACACGGTCACCGACTGCGAACGACACCTCACGACGACTGCGGTTGGTGGTGCGTGCCATGCGTGCATTTGCAAGCTCAAGGTGCTTCCTCACGTGGTCGTGAATGAAGGTGAGGTGCTGGTGGAAATTGTCCGCACGAGGGACAGTGGGTGTGAGGTCGATACGAGTGGGGACATTGGGGTGCTGACCGTACAGTGCGAAGAACGGTGACATGCCTGTGGCGGAATGATGCGTGTTGTTGTATGCGAACTCTGCCATGCTCAGCTTCTTGTCCCATGCTGCTGCGTCGTGCATCGTGATGCTACGAAGAATCTGCTCCAAGGTCTGGTTCACACGCTCGGTCTGTCCGTCTGTCTCTGGATGGTACGCAGACGACATGGCTAAGCGAGTCCCAAACAGTGCGAAAAGCTGCTTCCAGAACTTCGAGGTAAAACGAGGGTCGCGGTCAGAGATGATGGAATCGGGAACCCCGTGCAGTCGGACTACGTTATCTACGAACAACGTCGCGGCTTCCTCTGCTGTGACCTGGCCGTGCGTGGGGATGAAGTGCGCTGCTCGAGAAAACTTGTCGACTACAACGAAGATGGCGTCGTGACCCCTAACTGTGCGCGGTAAAGCCATGATGAAATCCATGGTAACTACCTGCCAAGGGCGGTCGGGCGGTGGAATCGGCTGCAAGAGTCCTGCTTTGCGCTGGTGACAGGACTTCGTACGCTGACACGTGTCGCACGAGCGAATGTAATCCTCTACGTCTGCTGCAAGCCCTGGCCAGTAGTACGTGCGACTAAGCGTCTTAGCCGTCTTATCTGCCCCAAAATGACCTGCACTGACTACATCGTGTGCCTCGGAAAGAAGAAGCTGTCGAAGAGGGCGGTAGGCTGGAACCCAAATCCGTGCTGTGCCCTTCCGTATGTAGACACTACCCTGCACCTCTGCTCCTGCGGGCGGCTGCGGTGTGAAGTCGGGATCTACTGTGTAACCGTGCTCGAAGAGTGCTGTGAGAAGTGGATGGCCGGCAGTGACTGTGAGGCTAGCGAGCTGGCAACTAGGGCGAGTGAGCGGATCTGCTGGGTTGCGCACGCCTGGCTTGTACTCTATCCTGTAGTGGAAACTCCCCTCCATGAACTCCATCCATCTAGCCTGGCGACGACTCAGCTGCGGCTGCGACTTGAGGAAACGAAGCGAGCAATGGTCCGTGCGTATAACACTATCTGCCCCCTCTAGGTAGCACCTCCACACCTTATACGCATGGATGATCGCGAGCGCCTCCTTGTCGTGTATGGGATAGTTCAACTCCGCTCCCCTCAGCTTACGCGACTCGTACGCGATCGGCTGCAACCCGCGTCCCTGGTCCTGAAGAAGGACTGCACCTATGGCCTGATCTGAAGCGTCGGTCACTACAACGTACGGGCGAGTGGGATCGGGGTACGACAGTGTCGGTGAAGACGTGAGCGACTGCTTCATCTGCTCGAACGCCTGCTGCTGCGCTGGACCCCAAACGTACTCTACGCCTTTCCGAAGTAGGTCGGTGAGTGGACTAGCGATGGAAGCGTAACCCTGAACGAAACGACGGTAATAATTGGCGAAACCGAGGAAGCTCTGCAACTCCTTGACTGAGGTCGGTGCTATCCAATCCTGTACTGCTGCGATCTTCTTCGGGTCGGTCCTAACGCCACTAGCGGAAACGACGTGACCTAGAAACTCGACCTCGGGGAGAAAGAACTCGCACTTCGACTGCTTCGCGTACAGCTTCTCCCTCCGCAAGACCTCAAAGACCTTCTGCAAGTGCTGCACGTGCTCCTCTTTCGACTTGGAGAAGATCAGGATGTCGTCTAGGTAAACGACAACGAACGAACCTAGGAACTCTGAGAGAACGGTGTTCATGAGCGTCTGAAACGTCGCTGGGGCGTTGGTCAAGCCAAACGGTAGAACTCTAAACTCGTACAACCCCTGCTTCGTACGAAACGCCGTCTTGTGCTGGTCCTCTGGAACTACGCGAATCTGGTGGTAACCCGAACGAAGGTCGATCTTGGAGAAGACTCTAGCGCCCTGCACTGCATCGAGAAGATCCTCTACTCTCGGCACCGGGAATCTGTTCTTGACGGTGGCGGCGTTCAGTGCGCGGTAATCTATGCACATCCGTAACCCTCCGTCTTTCTTAGGCGCGAACAGGATCGGTGCGGCCCAAGGCGATCTAGATGGCTGTATGAACCCCTGTGCGAGAAAGTGCCTAACCTGCTGCGTCATCTCCTCTCTCTCCGCTGGACTCAACCTCCACTGCGGCTTCGCTACTGGCCTGCTCCCCGGCTCCAACTCTATTCGATGGTCTACTGCTCGGCTGGGAGGTAACCCTGGGGGCAACTCGTCGGGGAAGACGTCTGCGAACTCTGCTAACAGTGCACTCACCTCAGCAGGAAGAGTCGCCTTCTCACTAACTGCTGCACTCCCTCCTTTCCCCTCCTCAGCTTCCACCTCCTCAAGGAAAACCGCGAAGATCCGTGCCGCACGCTTCACTAACTGTCGCACACGAACATCGTTAATGATAGCTGTGGATGATGTGGCCCCATCGCTCCACTGTGGCAGCTCCCGGAACTCCCCGTCTACCTTGACACTGCAGCGTCCCTGAGCCCAATCGAACTGAGTGCTAACCGTGCGTAGCCAATCTCTCCCAAATATGAAGTCGTAACCGTCCAGTGTTGCAGAGTCGAAGTCACGTCTAACCGTGATCGGTCCTAGCACTACGCGCAACTTGCGAATGACTGGTCCTATGTGAAGCGGCGTCCCATCTACCATGCGAGCGTCCTTGAAGTTGACTGCCGTATCTGCTTCGAGATGGAGACGACTAACTAATGAAGACGAAACGAACGAGTGGCTAGCTCCGCTATCGACGAGAATCTTAACAGGAACTCCGCGAAGCTTCCCTAGAAGCACGACTGGTCGGTCAACAGTGTCTACCGAGTTCTCAGTAGATGACTGCTGCAAGGCCGTCTCCTCTACGTTGGTAGACGTGGCGGGTACGGGAACCTCCACACCAGCTAGCGACCCGCTATCTACTGGCGGTTTCCGTTTCCCTGCTGCCGCTCCTTGAACTGTGGGCAGTCCCGCTTCATGTGTCCCGGCTTTTTGCAGTAGTGACAGTTCCCCCTAAAACCCGTTCGCTGTGAGCCGTCACTGTTAACTGCACCAATCTCCATGGGCGACGGTCCGTCCCTCGATCGAGCGTCGTTGATCGGTCTGTTGTATCCCCTATCGCGATCGTCACGACCCCGTCGGCTTCGTACTGCGTCGACGCGTTCTGCTGCTGCGACTACTGACTCGAAGGTGGACAACCCATGAATCGCTATGACCTCCGCGATGTCCGGCTTCAACCCTTCGAGGTAGCAATCGCGTATCTCTGCTTCCGTGATGTCATCTATTTCGTTGCAGATGCTCAAGAACCGTCGTGTGTACTCCTGGACGTTTCCTATCTGTCGGAAATGACGCAGACGCTTCCTAGCAGCTTCGGAGGCGTTCACCAAGTCGAACCTACTTTTCAGCGCCGCTTCAAATCCTTCCCATGTCGTCGGAACCGTGGTAACACCCAAAGCTAAACTCCCTAAGCTCGAAGTTGCAGCTGCATGCCCCACGCCCTGTTGATGCCCGTCCGTCTGAGCCCTTCTAACAGCAGTCTGCGTAAGTTGGCGCCACCACTCCAAGGCCGGCCCCCTCAACAGCGTCACGGCATACTCAATCCGCTGCTGCGCGTCCGCCTCTTGCACCCCGCTCGCGGCGAAGTAGTTGTTGAGCATGAAGAGCCACGTCCGCACGTTCGCGTCGCGTTGACTTGGGTCGAACGACTCCGGTTTCTGCGGCTTGAGCGCGCTTCGACGTTCCGGCAGCGCTTCCGCGCCAGTCGACGTGGTGGGTGCAGGAGTTGGTGCGGCATGACCATGGGGGTTAGAAGCCAAATTGCGAAGCTGTTGCATTTCGGCTCGTACCTGACGATTT